CTGAATGAATGACAGGCTTTCTGTTGTAACATCGCGCAAGGTAAATAAGGGTGACATCTAGTGGAGAAGACTAATGATAAGATTCACGTTAATCAGATCTTGTTTTAAATGTGTGCTGAAATAAATCCCGGAAAAGATCGATTCGCGGCTTTTGAGAATCGATATCAAATCGACGTCATTTAAAAAAAAACGATTAATCGAAAAATCGATTTTTTTTTTCCCCCAGCCCTAATGATTTGACAGATTTGTACTAATAACATATATTACTACTGAGCACACCTGGTTTTCAAATGTCTCCTCTTGGTAGCGGATAGGCACGTCACTGGCATGGACGTACAGATAGATGTTGTGGTCACAGGCAATGCTCCAGCAGCACTGCTGTACAGCCGTAACACGCTTGAACTCCAAGTGGGCATCGCGACAATGCTCCCACTGCTGTCCCGCTGTCGAAAGGCTATAAACCCTGCCGTACACATCAACAGCCCACAGGAGGGAGCTCGGCATGATGCACCCTGCTGCAAGAGACAAGACACAGATATCTGCAGATAAACAAACACCTCACCATCAGTTTATGGCTACAAAGAGTGTTTAGAAGCAAACAAGGACACAAAGTTAATTGCTCTCAAATGAAGCAGAATTTCCTGCCTACTCTTTTCTCTGCTTTGACAGCAGATCTGCAGTCAGCTGATTCTCATTACTGTTCCTCAGGCTGCCAAAACAGTGCTGATACACTGAAAGAGACCTGTTTACAACTGATATTTTGTTGCCTTCTAAACTATAAATGAAGCAATACACAATAACCTCTATAAAGCTCCAAATAAATCACAGATCACCCTTACAGAACACTACTGTGGTGGTACCATGTTAAGCATAATACAGTATGAGATTGTAATTCCATGGAACCTGAATGATTACTATATTTAATTACTATATCAACATAGCATTGCAAGGTACTTTACAAAACGCCATCATATTAGTACTATAACTAAGGAAGAAAATAGTAATTACTATGGCAGATACTATTGTAAAAATTTTAAAAATGTGATGATAGCATGGAACTATACTATCCATGAAAAAAAGAATACTGTAACAAACATTTGACAAAAAATGCCATGGTATTAGTGAAGTTCAAAACGTTACTAAAGCAACTGATTTAGTAAAGAACAATCATATCTATTTTGATACTGCGTGTTGTTGAACGCTTGTTTGTTGATGCAGGTAATGCCGGATAGCACGCTAGCTAGCAATGACAACACATAAGAAACAAACCTGTGGAGTACTTGACAATAGCATCTGCAAAAAACTGGAATACGACTAGGATACAGTCAGAAGAGAAACATTTTGAAATTAATGACTGCAGCTGCCTGTCTTCCGCAGTGACAGGTGCATGTACATTACAACAGAAGGTAAATATCATGGCAGTTTATGCATCCTCAGTATAGCTGAGAGTATACATCAGCTGCATCCAGCGTTACATACCTTATCTGCGTCAGGGTGTAAGCACTTAGCTTATGTTTTCATTTTGAGATCATTCGGCTTTGCGAAATCTGCCTGTGATTTGCACGATGTTGACACCCCAGAGATCCCAAACAGGAAGTGTCAGGATTGTTGCATTGGCAGTATTGGCACGGCAAGGGGCGCCAATAACTCGTTAAAAGATAATGGGATGGTAGAGGTTGTTACCATGGTGCACTCAGAGAGTATACACCAGGGGTCCCCAAACTATGCGGCCCACCACTCTGAACAATGCCAGAGACATATTTTGAAAATTTTATTTTAAATATACGGTTTCACTTATATCATGTCTGTATTTGATAATAAAGGTTGGCTTTCAGACTAAAATTTCCCTTAGTTATTAACCTAGCCTAATTATTTGTTAAATTTACCTAATGGTACGTTCAACATAATGTACCATCGCGATCGAACAGGTGACGCGCGAGTCAGCGAGAAAATTCAAAGAGACGACAAAATGGCCTAAAAAGGTTGGGAAAGAGAAAGGTTGATTCAGAATGCAGGGTATTTAACCAAAAGTGGACAAGTTATTATTTTTTTGTTCAGTGCAAAGAATTGGCTGTTTGTCTAATCTGTCAAGAAACAGTGTCTGTGTTCAAAGAATACAATCTGCGCCGACACTATGAAACCCGCCACAGAGAAAAGTATGCTAGCTTGCAAGGCCAAATGAGAGCAGACAAATGAGAGCAGACAAAGTGTCGAAGCTAAAAAAGTGTACTATCAGCTCAGCAGAATACATTTGTACGCCAAACCCAGCTGAACCAGCTAGCTTTCACGTAGCTAAACTGATTGCAACCAGCGGTAGGCCATTCAGTGACGGCGAGTTCGTCAAGAAATGTATGAATGCTGTTGCAGAGGAGGTGTGCACCGATAAGAAAGATGTCTTAAATGCGGCAAGTCTGTCCGCAAGTAGTCACCAGACGAATTGAAGAAATGGGGGATAATGTATATGCCCAGCTGCATGAGAAAGTGAAAGAATTTTAATTTTTTTGCATTAGCACTGGATGAGAGCAATGACGTGCAGGACACAGCACAGCTGCTCATTTTTCTTTGTGGAGTTAGCTCAAACTTTGAAGTGTCAGAGGAGCTAGCAGCCCTACAAAGTCTAAAAGGCACTACGACAGGGGAGGATATTTTTGGTAAAGTGTGCCAAACGATGGGAGAGCTGGGTCTAGACTGGTCTAAGCTGGCCAGAATCACTACTGATGAGGCTCCTAGTATGGTTGGCGCGTCGAGGGGGCTTATAGGACGCATGAATAAAGAAATGGAGGAAAGAGGTCTAACCCCACCGTTACAAGTCCACTGCCTGATTCACCAGCAAGCACTCTGCTGCAAAGTTCTGAAGTGGGAATCAGTCATGAAGGTGGTGGTGTCATGCATAAACTTCATCAGAGCAAACAGACTTAAAGGGGTCATATGATGCGATTTAAATTTTCCCCTTCTCTTTGGAGTGTTACAAGCTCTTGGTGCATAAAGAAGATCTGTAAAGTTGCAAAGACAAAAGTCTCAAATCCAAAGAGATATTCTTTATAAAAGTTAAGAGTCAACCATGCCTACCTAAAACGGC